TGGGAGATAATTTTACAGAGGTTTCATACCAGACAATATACAGTTTGTAAAACCACAAAAAAATAACGCAAAACATTAAGAAGGATCAGCAATGTTATTGAAAGATAAACTCATTCCATACCCTACATTGTTCATATATCACAATACATTGTTCTTATATCACAACACATTGTTCTTATATCACAACACATTGTTCTTATATCACAATACATTGTTCATATATCACAATACATTGTTCATATATCACAATACATTGTTCATATTTCACAACACATTGTTCTTATATTACAATACATTGTTCTTATATCACAATACATTGTTCATATATCACAATATATTGTTTATATATCACAATACATTGTTCATATATCACAATACATTGTGCATATACCACAATACATTGTTCATATTTCACAATACATTGTTCATATACCACAATACATTGTTCATATATCACCATACATTGTTCTTATATCACCATACAGTGATCATATATCACAATACATGTATATTGTTTCTTTTTTATGTAGGCCTAATATTACACTGTTTATAAGTAATACATTTTTCACTTGATATATTTGCACTTCAAATTCCTGGCGAGTGTAAATGTTCAACTTGGTTTATGTAAATATACAACCTCCTGGTGTATGTAAATGTACAACCTCCTGGCATGTGTAAATGTACAACCTCCTGCTGTGTGTACATGTACAACTTGTTATATTTTGTGTATTTATATGATAAATTTTACACTGTGTTTAATTGGTTACAATAATTAATAGATAATTTTATTATATCTAAAACAAGTGTAATTAATGAAGTAATGACTTGAACTCGCTAATTAAAGAGAGAATGAAATAAACAGATGATTCATTCTTCAATAATTAAAATTACAAGCTCACAGAATCCATCGCATCTTACTTTATTTAATTACTGCATTACCGTTTTTAAGAATTATTTTATCCGAGGAATATTATTAACACATATTATCTTGACTTCACGCTTCACGATATAATTTTTAATTTCGATAAAGTTGGAATCCTTTGTGTCAATTTTTATGCGTATAATAACACGTTGCTGTCTCGTATTTTATTACCATAATTACATCGTAAGATAATTAGCGCTAATTAAAATGAAATCATTCAACTATGATGATGGCTTCCTGCAGAAGATGCATTATGTCTGAAATTTCAGGAAATATGCTATTCCATCTTTTAATGCGAAAGTCTCTGAAGAAAGGAAGTGAAATGAAAATGAAATAAAATGGGGTTTAACGTCCTACTGTTTTGCTCTGAACTGGACTAATGAAGATGGGCATACGCTATACAGTGTGCTATGAGGAAAATTTTGCCCAGACAGCGGTACTACAGCCTACTCTTATATCGAATTCCAACTGTCAAGGGATCTTTTACTTGCATGCCAATGTGTACACAGGGCCTCGGTTTTTCGTTCCATCCGAACGACTAGACAGTTGTCCTTGTCAGGCTCTCCGTTCAGCATCACTGACAAGGGAGAACCACGCCGGAAAATCTGGATGAACTCTCTCGGCCAATACAGGGATCAAACACCCGACCTCCAGGCTAGCGAGCCAGTGTCTTACCAACTTAGCCACCGTCATCCCCTCTGAAGAAAGAAATACTGTCTAAAAGATCGGTATGGTATATGATGTTATGGGAAGAGAAATTTTAAGTGCATCAATCAACATTGGGCTAGTCATCCTATGTTGTGGATTCTAGCGTCAGATGCGTTTGGCATAAATGGAGGCTCTAATTTAGCCCAATATGATTAATAGGTGTATGTACATGTATGTTAATTATTGTTGATTTATAATGCTCATCAAGAATGATATTTTACACTATATCAAGATGTTTTAGATGTTTCTTGGATTGAGGCAAACAAATAGTGTTCAACGCAAGACACAATTTTGTTCATTAGATTTTGGAGAACTATACTGAGACAGGAAAAGAAATTTTGAAAGTACAACAGAAATGGTTATTTACATGTATGTGAATTTGTTAAAGATATGATAAGTGTTTTTAGGTGTGCTACAGAGAGCAATCATACCCTGTTTTGCACATTAAAACGTGTTATTAATTATTGATAACACATACCCAAATCAACTTATAATCTACTTCAGAAAGCTAACTGGACAGTTTTCTATATCACCCATGACCCAACCAACTAGACAGTTTTCTATATCACCCAACCAACTAGACAGTTTTCTATCTCCCCCAACCAACTAGATAATTTTGTTACAGGTGTTTGCTGTGTCATCTACATTCTGGCTTTAAAATCCTCTACTCATCTTTACCTGGGATGTAACAGTCAATGCTCTCTGACCATCATCACTCAATGCTCTCTGACCACCATCATCATCAACAGATGTAACAGCCAATACTCCCTGACCATCATCAACAATAGATAATAATATCCTATTGATTAACCATTGTATTGTGTGGCCTTACAATAAACCGTGTAATTAATGTATATTCTCTAATAATTTATCAACATTAAATTATTTTATTATCTAACCTTAATTTAAATACATGTACCATTATTAACTATATACATTATTTCAATAAAACCCTTGTACAAAACATAGGGTCAGGAAAAACTGAGGTCTCTAGTACACGATGGAGTGCACATAAAAGATCCCTTGCCCAAGGAAAATTTCGCTGAAAGCACACAGTTCGAGATGCATGATTATCTTCATTATAGCCTGACCGGGTTAGTGTAAAAAAAAGTAGGATGTTAAATCCCATTTCATTTCAATAAGGATTTCAATGAGTGACTGCTATAACTGACAAGTGGTACCAGGTGGTCTGAGAAGAGTAAGAAAAGCTTGCCTTGAAATCAACTTGAAATTCTTATATTTGAACAAATTCTTTACCTACATTTTTTTTTCCGTATATAATTATGAAATTAAAAGCATTAGGAATAAATTTAGATTTATTGTGCGTGCAGGTAGCATGTAGAACTGTTACAAAATATTATCAAAGTACTGCAACTATGTGTATCATGAACAGGGGCGGATTGGGGCCAGGAACCGGCCCGGGCTCCCGCGTCGGAGCGGCCCCTTTTACTCACCGTGGAGCCTGGAAGGGGGGTCCGGGGACTTTCCCCCCGGGAAAAATTAACCCAAATATGCGATTTGGTGGCATATCTGATTATAATCTCTGTCAAATAATATAGCTCATAAATCGATTAATTTAGGTCAAAATAACGAGTTAATAAAAATGTCAAGGAATGTTTAACACCAGCCTCAGGAAATCGTTTCGCACTCATATTCAGCCAACAGACCAGCTATCATCAAATTTTGCTGAGGCCTTAAAATTGAATTTTTTGGGGAGTTACGAACCACCGGCAGACGTTTCTAGCGTATCCCCACAAACAGGGTGCAGGTGACTTAATAGTTATTAAATTTGCGGGCGACAGTGTCAGGTGAATCCGATGAAATTTTCGGATGAAATTCGGAATCCCCATTGCAGGATTCCGAATTCCGGCCCACACCCAGCACACCCGACCCAGAAATTCTATTATACCAGCCCATTCTAGATTCCAATGATGGTGTGGCAGCCCGTTAAAACCACCGGCCACATACAACATGATCATCATCGCTCCATGGTTAAATATCCTCCCCCCCATAATGTTCAGCAGAAAAAGGCTTTTTAGACGAATTGGACAAAATTATTTTTTTCATTTTTTGTCCGACCGGCCAATCCGCCCCTGATCATGAACTATGTCATGTAGAACTGTTACAAAATAAAACAATGTATTTACTTCATATATCATTAATTACAGCATGTAGAACTGTTCAAATACCAAAATAAAACTTCATATATCATTCAATGAGTGACTGATATAACTGACAAGTGATATCAGGTGGTCAGAGAAGTATAAAAGGAACTTGTTGAAACGTAATGCGAAATAAATAAACTTGGTGATTGTCTTCCATGTAAATTGTGTTTTAATATTTTAAAATTGAATTGGCATTTTACACTTGAACAAATTCTTTACCTTAAAAACAATTAGAACCAATTTGGACAGATTTATTATGTCAAGGTAGCATGTATAACTGTTACAAAAATATAATAATGTACTACACCTTAATGTATCATTAACTATAGCATGTAAAACTATAACCAAGTCAGACAAATGTCACTCACTGTAATACAATGTCAATCACATCCCAGTCGATAAACAAACACACCGCTAATAACTAACTACTGGTACCATTCCATTAGTCTTCTAGCACTGATATCAATCAACTTGATATGCACATACACGTCCATTTCATAATTAACACCTAATTAACACACGTGCACAAACATTCCTGTAAATCCTTTATAAAAATAGAACGACAGATCGACCCAAGACGGGCATGTTTGTTGATTTATTCATAAAACTAAAAGGAATCAATAGGCGATGTACGCCCGGGGATCAACAAAATAATACTGAACAACAATATAACAATATTGGAATCAAATTTTGTGCCACAATTGTTCCGAATACAGGTAAATGTATCCCAGAGTTGCGATCGCCAAGTTGATCCTAGACAATTAAGTTGGCTATTTATAACATAATATTTGAGAAATTGAATAGTCCCATCACATTGTCATCATTGTCGGTACAAAGTGTGTTGGCTATCCCGTTTTAGCCTAAACATTTCTGTCATCGTTGATTCGTTTGGAGTTCTTTAACAAGAAACGTTAGTTTTTTAAAAAACCTTAGTCTTAAATGGTTATTTTATTATCGGAAAATTATAATCGAATTAATCAAATGAGATATTGTAAGCCTACTAAAAAATCGGACAATAATTTATAAACCGTCTTAAACTGGACTGTCATAATGCAAATACATGAAAACTACTGAGAAAACACTTTATATAAAAATATTGATATGTGTTCAATTGGCGGTGAGCTGTCATCATCAAAGACTCACACACCTTTCAGTTCTATAGATCAATCACGTGAATATAGGTAAATATTACGTAATACACTTACCTGTAACTGTGGTATACTGGTATAATCCTAGTGGAATATAAATCACGTACCGTTATTCATAGGGTAACAGATTCAGTAGTAACCGTAAACGTGTTAGATCTTTATCTCGCACACTGTTATCTCGTGGACGGCTCGCGCTAAACTACTCTCACACACAGTCAGTTTCATGACTCGGTGTTAATTACTTCATTCGGTTAACTAGTCTGTCTGGTTACCCTAGACTACTACAACTGCAACTCTGTCTATTTACAAGAAATCAATTCATCAATAAGCGACTGGTTAATCGGTAATATTACACGAGTCTCTAATTTTAATGAATATGGTTTTATATTCAAGGGCTATTTTATCTTAGGTGAAATATGAATCTGAATATTTGTAATATTCAGCCTCCGTCAGCCATATATTGGAATTATACAAAATAATTAGATTTTATTCAATGGTCAAAAATCGACTATATTATAAGATTTTGTCATGACAGTAGAGTGTTCTCCCAACATGGGGGCTGGTGGTGGCATATGCCTGGGGGCGACACTTCTTGAGGGACGTAAAATTATTTAACAGCGTACCAGAAATATTCATTTTGTAAAGAATATTCTTTATAAAAAATTGAATTTTTTAAAATGTCTTTTTAAAGTCATAAAAAGTCAACTCAGTGCAGGCACTGAACAAAGTAGTTACAGTATGCAAGGATGGGGCGTTGCTGAAACTTTTGCCCTGGGGCGCCACATAGGCTTGTGAGAGCCCTGCTCCCAACAAGCCAATTCCAATCTGAAACAGGTATCGTTTTAGAATTTCCGACGTGGTTTCCCCTTTTTCGGCGGTTCAAGATGGCGGGCGGGGCTAGGGACAGCGTCCAGTCGTTTGGATGGGATGAAAAACCGAGGTCCCATTGACGTGCACGTAACAGTACTCTTGGAATATGGAATGAAATGGGGTTTAACGTCCGACTGTTCTGCTCCGACTGAGCTAATGAAGACGGGCAAACGCCATATGAGAGACATTTTGCTTGGGCAGCTGCAGTATGGCTTCCTCTGATATCGAATTCCAACTGCCAATGGATCTTTTACGTGCACGCCAAAGTCTACACGGGTCCTCAATTTTTCGTCCCATCCGTACGACTAGACAGCGGTCCTCGTGAGGCCCTTTGTACTGCACCACTGACAAGGGGAAACCAAGTCAGAGAATTCCGATGAACTTTTCGGTCAATGTAGGGATCGAACACGCGACCTCCAAGCTATAGAGAAAGCGTCTTACCCACTGAGTAGGCGGAAACAAAATGTCCCCGAATAGAGCACTGCATGGCGTATTCCCAGTTGGTGCCATGTCATATCATCATCATTGTATAGATGACATGCACCACGCCAATGACGTCGGGACAGTCATGATGATGTTGTTGGGTATGCGTTTTTTCAATTTGCTAGGGGCTGTATTGTTACTGTTCCATTAATTTCACTGGATTAAACTTCAAATAAAAATAATTAAATAGAGTTTTAAAAACGTCTAGCTTTTCTTGAAATAAGTGGCCCAATGAAGACAGACATACGCCTCCGATTACAAAACCCCAAAACATCAACACATATATCAAACATTAGTCAGTACATAGGGTGTGAGGGGGTTACCAAAGGGGTGGATGTTACCGAGTCCAGATACAACCTATAACTATCAACCGTGTCTACCAAAGTCCTGTTTACAGTACTTTAAAGATCCCCTAACAGTTGAACATCGAGTAGACCGTCACGCCGGGAAAAAATTCTCTCATAACACACTGTATGATGTATGTTCGTCTTCATTAGCCCAGTCATTTCATACCCGTCTTAAGTAGGCCGATTGATACAGATAAATTGGGAGAGAAATGGGGTTTAATGGCCATTCGACACCAACTAGGTCATTTCGGGACTAACATATGGTCAATTATATTTCAACAATTCGCTTGCGCGTAGTTGCCTTTAGCAGTGGGAGGAAACCGGAGGACCCTGAGAAAACCCATAAGGTTGGACAGAGGACCCTACTCATTGTCACGTACAACCGGGGAATCGAAACCACGCCAGTTGACTCAAGATAAACCTTATGATCCAACGTGCAAGCGCTAAAGATTCGCCACTCGCCCCCACGAAAAATAGGACGTTAAACCCATTTCCATTTATTCTGAACGAAAACATGTATACGTGTATATTTCCCCCTTGTCAGTGATGCAGGACGGAGGGCCTGACAAGGACAGCTGTCTAGTCATTCGGATGAGACGAAAAACCGAGGTCCCATGTACACATTGGCGTGCACGTAAAAGATCCCTTGACAGTTGGAATTCGATATAAGAGTAGGCCGTAGTGCCGCTGTCCGGGCAAAATTTCCCTCATAGCACACTGTATGGCGTATGCCCGTCTTCATTAGCCCAGTTCGGAGCAAAACAGTAGGACGTTAAACCCCATTTCATTTCATTTCATTTCGTATACGTGTATAAAACAGTCTATCAATTTCATTTATCCAACCAACTAAATCTGCCGAGAAACCCCTGAAGGCAGGTTTAAGAAAATCGATTATAATTCGATAGAGACTGAAAATAACTAGAATGCTGGATATATTTCACACTGTTGAAATCTGATATTTGATTTGTCGGGAATAAAAATATCCCGGGGGTTTCCTGGTGAGAAATGTGAATAAAATCATTACACTGTAAATTGATTTAAATTGCACGATACGGGAACGTAGTCAACCCCATAGTAAGAAATGAAATGAAATGAAATGGAGTTTAACGTCCTACTTTTCTCTCCGACTTGGCTAATGGCGAAGGATATACGTCATACAATGTCATGGGGGTCTTTTGTCCATATACAGTGGTGCTACGACTTTCTTGTACTTCAAATTCCAATTGTGAAGAATTCCAACAACGTGTTCACGAGCCTCGGTTTTTGGCCCAATCGAATGACTAGACTCTGTTCCCTTTTCTCCCTTTTGTATGGCGATTGTTTGGCGTGGAATTGAGGGAAAAAGGGTTGAATACATTTTCGGCTAGATTTTGGTTAATTGTCATGATTTTGTGGCGGAAGGATAAGAGAGTTAAGGGGTTGGTTCCGCTGAAATGTAGGGCGGACGGGTGCGTTCAACTACACGAAGATTTGGGAAAAAGTTAGAGCCTGACATAGAGCATATTTCTGAAGCAATGGCCCTAGAAATCCCGCTTTGAGTGGGATCAAGTCTAATCAAATGAAATACTGCGAGGGGTGTGGTGAAAGAAACGAATTAAGATTAGGGCTAAAGTCAGTGGTGAAATTAATAGTGATCTGTGGCCAAATGTCACCCAATATTGTCTCAACGCACCCATCGCGAATCAATATATTATAAATACGCCGACAATTACCGAACTGATCGAGAATGCCTAGTGATAGGCCTATATATTTGTTAATAAAATAAATAAAATTCACCTTCTCATTCACTGGAAAATATAATGCGAATTCTACCATATTGTCTGTCATTGAGCCAACTGGGTTTCGATTTCCCGGTTGTACGTTACAAAGTCGCCTGTCGAACCTCCGGTTTCCTCCCACTGCTAAAGACCCCTACGCGTTACGAATTATTGAAATAAAATTGAACCATGTTTTAGTCCCGAAATGACCTAGTTTGTGTCGAGTGGACGTCACCCCCCCCCCCGCCCCCCGTGCATCTCCAATGATAAAATCACATACTTGTTGTCAATGGCTATTAATAAAAGGGAGATAACTACAGATTTACACTGGAATTTCTAGTTTTGTCAACAAGATCGTCTAACGGTACCGCGGTTTTTAGTATCATTTGAACTACTAGCTACGAGAATGTAGCTAAAAACGTTGAGATATACTGATGTGTTTGTTTTTAGCTACGATTGGATGCCTTTAGTTCCAAGTGGCAAACTCAATTTCTTTATTAATGCATGTAACATCTTTAAAATAAGATAAGTTTATGCTATTATGATTAATTAAACTTACAGAGGCCAATGTAGTGGCACAACTATCGCCTAACTCCAAATATTCGCGTTTGAATTAATGATGCGTTGTTTTTGTCTAACATACACCGCCATTTAAATCCATTCATAGTTAGAGTGCTTTAGACATGCGCCGACACTACACGCCCCTTTTACTTCATTTAAAATCAATGGAATTAATATATAATTCAATGATTTGCCAAATCCTGTCGGTAATAAAGCAAAAACATCCTTCTTGCCATTTATTATCAGGTCCAAACTAATTTCTTGTTCGGGTTTTAATTCAACATTATCGCCGTAATTTAATTTTATTTTCTGAAATGATTCGCGGATATAACATGTGGATGTCATTTTGTGTGTTGACATGTTCTCCACTTTCGATTGCCTTTTTGATTGGCTGTTATAAAAGCCTTCTATTTAGCCCCGCCTTCATGATGACAGCGTTAAACGTCTGCTGTTTAAAAAGATGGCGGCCTTAGTAACGGCTCAACGCCTCGATTTTAAATACGACGATTTATACCAGTTTCAGGTAGGATTATATGCTTAATTGTAGTTGGGTGTTGTAGAAATATTATAAATAACAATAATCAATCGTTGTTTTGATGAAAAATATTGTCAATTTTGTTTAAAACTAGCGGGAGTGAATCACTCCGGGAGGTGCTACGTTGAAGATAATAGGAACAATTCTCATCTCGAAACACGGAGGGTTGAGAGATGAGATGTGTTATCTACCGAACTGCAGACCCGGTCCACCACCACAGACAACGGGACGCGCTGGAACATCCCAGGTGATTTTCGTCGTCAACACTGGTTCTCACGTGTCAGGAAAGTTCTCTCAACCTCATCTACAGAGATATGTGATTTTGGAAACTTCGGCCGAGTCACCGCCGCCGGCCTGTCGCTTAATCCAACCGCGACCTGACCAGCCGAGCAATGTTCCATCCCCTATTGCTTCTGGGATAGACCCCGTTAGGTCGGGTCATTTCCGCGAACATCCATCACGTTTCCAGACAGGCTTGTTCGATTTACATCTACAGACAGGGGGAATGGTTTAGTTTATTACAGCGGGATAGTTATGTAAGGGGGCATAACTCTTGATATTCTTAGGTGTCGCACCGTCGTCTCCTATTCAATATTTCCAGACCAACTAAAACCATTCTCATTCATGGGGTATTCACAAATTATCTACCCTTGATGATTTCATTGGCCACGTAGGTTGTTTCCACGAACCAATCAAAAACAGATTACAGCAGCTTGTACGTTCGATTATGAGAAAGTTCGCGTGGAATTTAATATCAAAGCAGTGGCATGCGCACAAAAAGATGTCCTAAAGTATTTTAACAAAGTTTACAACAACAATTCGGCGATCTCAGTTTCAACAAAATGCGAGTTATTTCCCTTCGCCCACTCGCTTTCTTTTTATGGATTTTTTTGATTGGTCGATAAAAACAGCACAATTGTCAAGGGCGGATAATATGACTATGTGTCTCCCCGGTACATGGACCCAGGGCTTAGTGGGGTAGAACAGAAGGATACCGAAGATAAACGCGGGTCAAAATTTGTTGCCTTGGAGATGATTCGATAGTGAAAGATGCACTATTTAAGATTTAGAGCTGATCATTCTTGCTATAATAGTTCAAACATAGATAAGGAAAATGAATATTTTCAAAATTTCATTCAAATTACTTTAATTAGGGGGAAGTTTTGACAAGATGTGTCACAGATTGTTTATTATCGTAGCCACAGTACTTGTTAATCGAGACTTAGCCATGATTCACCATTTTAAAATAAATCATTAAATGGCGACCGTATTTCAATCCGTTTACATCTCCACCACCCGCTGTTCCGTAGAGTTGAATATAGGCGTACCATGTGAATAAATGCCTAAATAATAATTTATAAATGAAATGAAATGGGGGTTTAACGTCCTGCTGTTCTGCTCCTACTGAGCTAATGAAGACGGGCATGCGCCATACAGTGTGCTATGAGAGACGGTTTGCCCGGGCAGCGGCACTATGACCTACTCTTATATCGCATTCCAACTGCCAAGGGATCTTTAACGTGCACGCCAATGTATACACGGGACCTCGGCTTTTCGTTCCATCCGAACGACTAGACAGCTGTCCTTATCAGATCCTCCGCCCTGCACCACGCCGAAAAAATCCCGATGAACATAATTTATATACATATATAAAGAGAAATGGGGTTTAACGTCCACTCGACACAAACTAGGTCATTTCGGGACTAACACATGGTTCAATTTTTTATTTCAATAATTCGCTTACGCGTAGCGGTCTTTAGTAATAGGAGGAATCCGGAGGACCCGGATAAAACCCACGAGGTTGGACATGCGACCCTACTCCTTGTCACGTACAACCGGGGAATCGAAACACAATTTATATAACATTTGAAGCCAACACAAGGCTCTTGTATAAGTCACCTTTAAAAGAAGAAAACGAATCAAACACACGATTAATTTTATAATGTTTTATTGTTAGTGAATTGGAGACAGGAGAAAGTGGGAAAAGTTCTTGTACAGTGTTTAAATCTTGTTTTTGTTTTAATTCAATATTTGCATCATTTAAAGGGAGAACACTAGGTTGATTGTCGTCCATGGTTGTACAGAAGGCACGTACACGTTCAATATTACATCAAAGTTTAATAGAACTGTGCCCTGTGCTATATATGTTTACAAATAACTTTGCAATAACTGAGACAGAAGCGCCGTTGCACAAAGCGCCGCACATAAGATTAACGTACACGGAACATCTTGCTATAACGGTTTTACGTGCGTCGTGCAACGCAACCTGGGGATCCCTAAACTTAAAAACTAAAATATTTCAAGAATACCGATGATCCATCGATTGAGCACTCCAATCACGACAAATTGTTTATATTTCAATTGCCTTGAATAAGGTACAGGCTCCCGGGTCTTCCAAAAACAAGCGAGCCTATATCACTTGGAGTTCAACGTTTACGTTTTCCATCAATCTGATTAAAACACAGATCCTATTTCGTTTCGTTTCTTATAGTTCAAAATTTTGTTTTACTTGTTTTTAATACACTAGGATCTGGAAGATTTGTTATATTATGGATGTTCTGATTGAAGTGAAGGATGAACTAATGAAACGGACTGTTACGGCGAGTTCTTGTTGTTTGATGCGGTCGACGCCGATTGATTAATCAATGTCGGACGTGATAGGGTCAAAAGCCGCTCGTACGACCCCTGACGCGACCTTCCAGAACAACCGGTCAGATCTTCATGTAGTGTAGGCCACCGAAAGTATAAAAAAAACGAAACGAAATATAGATCTGTATTTGAATCGGATTAGTTTTCCATCGTCTCTGTGTTCTAAACTCTAAACGGTGCAATGCCACGGCTGTCGTCATCTCTGATTAAAATCTTGTAATATATAATGAATGAATAACAATAGATATTGAAATACGCTTTAAGCGCTTGAATATAATAACTATTTATATAGATATATGTGTAGATAGAATTGATATTAAATAGTGGATATATATATATATATATATATATTTATAATAAACACTAGCTTGGCTAGTTGAGATTCATAGTTTATATAGATTTATAATTAATAATGTATATACCATAAGTGTGGGGACGTCTATAGGTACTTAAATAGATCCTCAATACACACACATTTTAATGTAGGCATAATGGGGTTCATTCACCGTAAATTAGACAGAATGAGAAGGTTTCTAATACAAAACCAAATACATGTATGCACAAATACGTTAGAGTGAATAATTTAACGTCCGCTTGCAAATGAGAAAAATGCAAACAAGAACCATAATACATCAATACATTAATAAAAGTTTCATCCACCATCAAATATTCTATAAAGGCTTCAATTTACTTTTTGTTCAGTATATAATGTTTTCACTTAAACATGGATCTAACACTCCTACCCGATTCGCATACCGTATCTCTTGTATGATTTTCAGTTGCGATTCTATGCTCCGTGGTACCAGTTATAATATTCCAATCATCTCAGGTTATCGAACACCTGCATCTTTTAAACAACAATAACATTTGGATGCTGGATGCTGGAATTCCATTCAGCTCACGGTTGTCATTCAATTCAGCTGACGACCGTCATTCCATTCAGCTGACGGCTGGCTGTTATTCCATTCAGCTGACGACTGTCATTCCATTCAGCTCATGACTGTCATTCCATTCAGCTCACGGCTGTCATTTAATTCACCTCTTGACAGTCATTCCATTCAGCTCACGGCTGCCATTCCATTCAGCTCACGGCTGTCATTCCATTCAGCTCATGATAGTCATTCCATTCAGCTCACGGCTGCCATTCCATTGTTAATACTCGGTGGATCATGCGTCCTATTGTTCTAAACAATAAATAATAAGTCGTTTTATTTATTCAAATAATAACACGGACCATTCAGCTTTTCCGGGATTATAGGCCACTGACCGTACGATGGAACCTTTATAAGATCTATCAAAAGGTCCGAGGCTGCAACAATTTCTGATTTGCATACGGAAAATTAATCTTTCGGCAATCCCGATAATGTACCGCCTAACTCTAATCCTAAACGAGGTATTAAGGCCACGACCACACGGTTGTTTTTCAAGGCATTCACAAGGCATTCTCGTAATAACTACTTGGACCAGCTACTTGCAACCACCTGCTTAGTAGTAAACGTAAATATCTCATTGGGCAATATATCCTCGGAAAAGTTCGGATAATTCTGGATTCACTTCCTCGAGAACAACACCGTTCGTTCGTTTCTGGAGTTTTGCGTCCACTTCCACGAAGGGTGATATCGTCGACAAGCCTCAAGAACAAAAGACAATACGTTTTTATGCGGTGACACGTATCCGTTTTGTTATCACTTGATTTCCGCTGGATGATGACGTGATAAACAAAAGCGACACTGTTTATTAATAACGTTACGTGGTTTAATTGGACTGACGAACACTGAACCTACCCCTCTGTCCATGGTATTACACCCGGGTTCTTAAGATGGTGTGATGGCGGAGAATCCTCGTTTCGGTTCACAATATGTACAGTTTTGTTCTACACGCGCCAAGCGAAGAAACTGTTTCATGAGTTTGACACATGACTAATACCGGCTGCGGGATGGATGATCACTTTATTTTTCAAATCCATATTTCAACGGAGTTATGGAAATGACGGAGAACCCTCGCCTCGGTACACAATACGCACAGTTTTGATCTACACACCGGAAATGAAGATACTGTTTTATGGGTTCGACACATACATCACGTTATTTTGTTCAATTCCGTATTTCACAGGAGTTCTGATATCACAATAAAAATATCACCAGCTCCCACCAGTGGATGTTATAATAGTTTATAGAAAAAAATGATATTCAAAATATTAAATTAAAATGAAATGCACGAACGTCACACGATGTTATTCTGTGGCACTAAGGGACATAACTCTGCCGTGTCGTGAACGTTTAACGTCGGAAGTACGTCATGACGTCCCAGATTTTTCATGGCCTGTATAAACACTCCAACCGTCGCCGAATCATTACGACCCCAGTCTGCAAGTAAATGTTTTAATGGCGTGGATGAGTCTCTTTGTGACTTTATTTCACAGTTGGCGATCTTCTTCGTGTTGAAACCTGAAAAATCAGAAAATAAAAAGCTTTCATGAGATCCTCGTTTTGTTTGAAATACAATTAGTTGCGTCCATTATAAATGATTTTTCAACACTTGTGACAAGATGTTCATGTAGGACGGTGATCCGCGGTGGCTCAGTTAGTCAGGGGCGTTTTAAGGTTTATCATGGCGGAGGCTATACTATTTTGAGGGCCCTCCTTCACGGGGGTGGTCCAAGGGGTTCTCCCCCCCCCCCGGCCACCGGAGGTCGAGAAATTTTGCAAAATAGAAAACATTTTGGTGCATTCTGATATATATCCAGTAACAGTGTATAGAAAACGATTGACTCGGACTCGGGGGCCCTTTCCCTTGACCAGAGGGGCCCTTTTGTCAGATGTGGGGCCATTTTGTCTGCCTTTAGGGCCCTCCCTAACTAGGGTACATTTTCATTTTTCTCATCGGTTTTAGCATTTTTCTCCCGTTTTATTTTTTCAACTTCTTTGATTTTTTTCGCGAGGAGGCTGGCGCCTTCAGCACCTCAGCTATAAAACGCTTTTGCAGCCAATAAGACGCTGGGACGCTAAACAGTAGGTCTCGGGTTCGCTTCCCGTGTTGGTCGAGAAAGTTCTTCGGGATTTTCTGGCGCGGTTCCCCATTGTCAGGGATACAGGAAGGAGTGCCTGGTAAGGGACAACGTATAATTGTTCGGATAGGACGAAAACCGATGTCCCATGTACACATTGGCGTGCAGGTAAAAGACCCCTTGATAGTTGGAATTCGGTTTAACTCATAACACACTGTATGGTGTATGACCATCTTCATTAGCCCAGTTGGGGCAGAACTGTAGGACATTAAACCCCATTTCATTTCATTTGTCAACATTAACAGTATTATGACAGCCATCCATTAAACTATAGCCGATATATTAATAGACTGGTATATTGTTAAGGTGAAGCGTATATCGATTTACAGGTGTTATAGACCTACTTGACGTCTATAATTCATATCAATTACTCCTTCAAACTATTTTGTGGATATATAAGTGTAAATAAATCTTATATAAGGTTGGAAGGGCAATGAACATACGTTTTGATAAGTAAGGATTGTGGGTTTCATATATTTACAAGTCAGGGCTCTGTTTCTCCTTCTCTTAAGCACTAAAATCAATCTAATATCCAATCAAATTACTAAAATTTCCTGAAACAGGCCCCAGATTTAGACAATTAATTTGTACTGGTGGGGTGGGGCACGATGTTTGTGTCGGGCGTGGGGGGGGGCGGTGGAACAGTAAGTGTGGTTCACTTACCAAGCGTCCGAGGTTCAATCCCGATGTGTCCGAAAAAGATCCTCGGGTTGTTTTCAGCGTGGGTTCCCCTAGTAAGGGGTTCAGGAACAAGTGCGGATCCTCAAGTCTCTTGGGTGGAACGAATATTCGTGGTCCCGTGTTAAAAGTTCCGCCGCCTATTAGTGTTGTACTATGAGGGAAATTTTACCCGAACAGCGGCCTTTCCGCCTACACGTCATCGAATTCCTACTGCCAAGGGGGTACACGTGGCCCGTGGCCTCTGTTTTCGTCCCATCCGAACGACTAGACTTGTCAGACAGTCTGTTTTTAATTATTATCTTACCTAATTCTCTAGCCAAGCCCTGCCAGTCACGGGAGTCTTTAGTGGACTGTAAGAAGCTTCTCTCTATTTCTCGTCTCTTACTGCTTGGTAAATCACGTATTCTCGTACTGCTCGTTAATACTACTGAAATCATAATAATTAATATTCAGATACGACTAGTAAACAGTTATTCGATGTTATGGGAAATAAAATAGTGAAGATATTGGCTTGGGGTGGCGGGGGTAGAGAGAGCACTTTATCTCAAAAGACGTAGGATGGATGGTTGGTTAAATGGTTAGCAGGTGCGCGTTGCACCATAGGGTCTGTGATTGAGTCAAGTGGCGTGGTTTCGATTCCACGCTAGTATGTGACAAGGAATATGGTCGCCTGTCCGACCGCATGGGTTTTCTCCGGATCCTCGGGTTTCCTGCACAGCTAAAGACCCCTACGCGCAAGCGAATTATTAAAATAAAATTGAACCAAGTGTTAGATCTAGTTTGTGTCGAGTAGACGTTAAACCATCTCTCTCTCTTTCTCTCTCTCTCTCCTAAACCACCCTCTCCAACACGACTGTTCCCCAGTTACATACATTTGATTCAGGGCTGTAACCAGCTCAGAGCAACGAGGGTGCGGAACGTGTTCTTAGGGGTGCTGTAAAATTGACGGACAATGTATATCTATTGTTTTTATGGTCGACAATTTTTTCACAGGGGCGGCGAAACTTTTTGCCCGTCTGATTTGATTTGTTGTTCATTGCGTGTATAATGATAATCTAACAGAACACAGTTTTTATGGGAAACAATCACTAGTTTATTCTAAAAGCACGACGTTTCGACAAGTATCCTCTTATCGTTATCAAGCACAATGACAATTTAGTAAACCTGTGGACAATATATATGAAATCAATAAGAAACCATCTACATGGATTAAGAATAACAGTAATAGAAATAATCTGGGGTGTCCATGTGGCACAATTTCACTGTCTCTACATCTCATGAGAAAGGTTAAATTATTACACACTCTTATATATTTATCTTCAAGTTTACCAATCTCATCTTTAAGTGGAATTTAGCGATTGATTGGGAAGCATATAAACAGAACATAATATCTGTGTAGTGTGTGTCGTCCGCGGGTTTGTCTTATATCACCTTTGTTTGTGGCCCTCCTGTACATATATTAGAAAACACTTTAATTAGCTGCGATATCACCCAAGGCGGGAGCGGGCGTTAAATTCTACGAACACTCTGATTAAAACACAGATCCTATTTCGTTTCGTTTCGTTTTTTATAGTTCAATATTTCGTTTTACTTGTCTTTACTGGGAGATGCTAATTGCATGCCAGTTGCAGGGGAGATTCGGGAATTTCCGGGGTCCACAATGACCACTATATATAAATGAGTATTTTGGGGGAATACTAACCCTAACCCTAACCTTTTAAGAGGAATAAAAGGTAGACTGGATCCAAGTTCAGTCTCCTAAAAAGGGTTAGAGTAAGTGTTCCCCAACATACTCATTTATATATAGCGGCCATTGTTGACTCCGGAAATTCCCGAGCCTCCCCAACCGGCCTACAATTAGCGTCTCTCGTCTTTACTTCATATAGAAGAGGCCATCGAAAGTATAAAAAAAAACGAAACGAAATATATAGATCTGTATTTTAATCAGATTGGTCCTACGAAGAAAGAACGAAATGAATGGTCGGTTAAGACATCTATAAGATAGATGTTTCAACTATTTGAAGGATTGTCTGTAATCAAACCGCTTCAAAGGAAACTGTTGCACTGGGAGCACTTTTACACATCAAACACAAAAACCACAAAATATCTATAGTCATAAAAGTTTTAAAAGTCATTCAGACTCAGACATGAGGAACGGGATTGTTTCATTTTATTGGAGGGTCACCTGATTGTCGGCATTGTTTGATGTTTTATGACTGGTACAGGTGAGTGTATGAGTCAAGGTTAAAAGGTCAGCCAGGTTATAAATACAGGTAGATGAAATGATTGAACACCAGATCTTGTGTCGGGGGATTAAAAACGTTTAAAATTTTTGATGACATCTGTTATCTAGTTTTATGACCGGAACTGGCTTGTTTTAGTCCCTAGGTGGCGTTAATGAGCGTCCATCAATTAAATATGGACCTACACAGGTGGGCTATTTCTAAAGGTCACCCTCGCCTTGCGGCCGTGAGTTCGATCTCCGGTGTGACCGTGAGTGTATGTGGCGTGGGGATAGAGGCGCCTGCTTAACCTTGAGTGTTTACCGCAGCTATATACATGTATACGATTCCCAACTCAGAAAAGACCCCTGCGCATGTGCTAAACGTATCCAAATAGGTTCAAAGCGGGCATTAAATACCTACAAAGAACGGCCATTGTTAAAATCATACTGTATTATAAGTAGGCCTACTAGCGCCACCATAATTTTGGAACCTAATGAATGAGGTTTTGCTTTTTTTTTGGTGGAAGCGGCTGGGGCTTTGCCCTCTAAATTTTCACGCTTCGTTTGTAAATATTAACATGAAAAGATTTTCTGTTTAATCTACTTCAAAACATACTGTAAATTGTTTTTTTAATATTTCAATACAGTGTGGAATATTTACTGTTTGTTATACCCCACTTATCTTCTTATATTTAAATCTATTTTTTTATTTTGAATTACTCTCAAGTCTAGATAGGCAATATTAACGACTTGCTGCAATGTCAGCTACCATAATCTAGTGTATTGAACCTAATGAATGAATGCATGAATGAATGAATGACATACTTTTAATATTGATCATAAAATATATTTAACTATTTAGCCTACCTGGAACTGCCTGTAATGATATATATAGCTAGGTTAACATATATTCTTAACAATTATTTTATAACCTATTTGTATGTATGGCGGTTTATTTGTCACTGTCCTTTGATCGTCCTGTATATTAAACAGTCAGTGTTCACGAACAAGATCCCTCATATAAACCGAGTCAGTGTGCACGAACAAGATCCCTCATATAAACGTGATTAGTGTGCTGTGCACGAACAAGATCCCTCATGTAAACGTGGTTAGTGTGCTGTGCACGAAAACGAACAAGATTCCTCATATAAACCGGGTGTAGTGCACGAACAAGTCCTTGGGACTAACATATGGTTCAATTTTGTTTCAATATTTCACTTGCACATGGGGGGGGGGGGGGCTTTAGAAGTGGGAGAAAACCGTAGGACCATTGAGAAAACCCACGAAGTTAGACAGGCGATGTATCAGCGGGGAATCGAAACCACGCCGCCTGCCTCGATCACAGACCTTATAATCTAAAGAGCTATGTGAAGAATCGTTATTTAAATCAATCTGTCCATGTATTGGACGTTAAGTTTGTAATAATAGTAACAAGAATCGTCAACCAGGAAAGAAAGTTCTTGCGTTGATCGGTTTGGGGGTAGGGGGAAACCCTAAACCTAATGCTAACCCTGAATTTACACTAGATGGATTTCCCGTATGGAAATGACCCCACCCCAACCCACTTCCCAGAATGACCCCCACCTCCACCCCACTTCCCTGAATGACCCCCACCCTACCCCACTTCCCAGAATGACCCTCACCCCACTTCCCAGAATGACACCCACCCTACCCCACTTCCCAGAATGAATGTGATGCCACTGATAAATAAACTGATAAATATAGGGACTGGATAATCGGGAATATGAAACTTTTGTTTTTCTCACCTGGAACTACTTTTTGTTGATGCTCTACTTCTACACAGATACCAGAATCGCCAGCGGAGGCTTTAGAATATTCTACGTCGTCATGCGGTTCTCTGATTAACCGCTTCTCTTTCATACGCCGATAGTGAACCATGATGACGTAACCTAGTAGTCCAACGACGACTGCGCCAAGAATTGCGCAGTAAAGTGGAATAATATCTATCTGTTTGCTGTTTGATTTCGGGTGATCATTTTGAACGGACTGTTTGTTATCTGTGTCGGTAAACTCTTCAGTCGGGTACCGGTAGATAGGCAGAGCTGAAAATATAAGAAAATAGATAGAATTAAAAAATGGTGATTAATCTATTTGCTATGCTCCCTAAGGTAAAAAGAGTCACGGGTGGATGGCCGAATGGTCAGTTAACACGTGCGCGCTGTATCATTAGGCCTGTCATTGAGTCAACTGGCGTGGTTTCGAATCCCCGGTTGTACGTGACAAGGAGTAGGGTCGCCTGTCCAACCTCGTGTGTTTTCTCCGGTTCCTCCGGTTTCCTCCCACTGCTAAAGACCCCTACGCGCAAGCGAATTATTGAAATAAAATTAAACCATATGATAGTCCCAAAATGACCTAGTTTGTGTCGAGTGGACGTTAAACCCCATCTCTCTCTCTCTCTCTCTCTCTCTGTCTCTGTGAATCAATAACCACCGAGTGAAATAATACAGCGACAATATTAATGACGACTACCAATTTATAACATGAATACAAAATTATACCACCGCCTTTGATGTTGGGTAATTCAGCCGAATAAATCGCATATTGAATATAAAATGAATCAGTAAACGGGTGAATGTGTGGATTGTAAAATGAGTTATGTTAAAATGAAAAGTTATATAATCTATGGTTTTTTTTATAACTTAATATCAATCAGTTGTTTTATGGCGGATGATGTAATTGACTGTTTTGCATAATTGTTTTGTTATTTTATTTTTTAAATTGTCCTATAAGCGTATTCCGATTTAGTGTATTTACATTGCTTGGGCTATTAATATTTTTTTTTTTTAAACACATTTTGATAATTTTGAGTTTATAAATGAAATGAAATTTAACGTGGTTGTTCTTCATCCGTTGTGCAGGACGGGGCGAGGTGGCATGGACAGTGTCTAGTCGTTCTGATGGGACGAAAAACCGACGTCCCGTGTTCATATTGACGTGCACGTAAAAGAACCCATGACAGTTGAAATGAATTTAAAAAGTGCTTAGCGTCTTACTTTACTACGGCATCCGGGGTAATGAAATGGGGTTTAACGTCCTACCTTTTCTACACCAACCGGGTTGATAAAGAAGTGTACACAGTTTAAACCTTAGCGTGAACGCAAAAGAACCCTTGACAGTTGGAATTTGACAAGGAGTATAGGCGAGAAAAATTTCCTTCACATCAGACGGCATGTCGTATGCTCGTCTCCATTATTTCGATTGGTGCAGCAAAGTAGGGCGTTACTCCATTTCATTTCGACATAATCTATCTACATCATCACTTTGTTACATTTATTTGAACAATTAGGCTACAATTTTTATTACGGCTTCTGTGTTTCTAAATGGCTGCTTTTCTCCTTTGTTTTGTAGTTTTCCCGGGTATAATCCCGGTACCTGCCGGTACCCGTATCATCATTATCATCAACACAATACAAACATGCATGAAATTTATTACTATCTTGTTTATCGAGGCGTATATTTTATGCAAAATAATTTAAATTGTAATTTCAAAATTATCTGATATAAAGAGAAATATTAATGAGGTTATGTTTTTTATAGTTTGAAATGTATTTCAACATTTTAATTGCCATTGAAATGAAGTACAATATATTTACCACGTGTTTCATCAAATAATAATACAATATTTTTATTGTAATGAACAAATTGTGCTAGAATTAAATTAAGCGGAAATAACGGCACTGGAGCATATGGGAATCGTAGTTAAAGGGAGTAGGGTAATACACGTACTACAAAATTACAACATAAATCTTCTTAGTATCGAGAGTCGCGGTGGCTCACTAAACAGGCCCCAAATTCCTACATTGGTCATTTTGAGACTAAAATATGGTTCAATTTGATTTTGATAAATTAAAATCGCTTGCACGTAGGGTTCTTTAGCTGTGGGAGGAAACCGGAGGACCAGGAGAAAACCCACCAGATTGAACGGACGACCCTACTCCATGTCAAAAACACGCGGGGAATCGAAACCACGCGAATTCACTCAATGACAGACCTTGTGACCGAACGCGCATGCGTTAAACATTCGGCCACCCAACACCTAGTAAACGTATAAGAGCTGTTTACAGTTATAATTCGGAATAAGAGTACACCGTTTCACCGATGTCTGGACAATGTATGTTCCCTCATAGTTATCGGAAATCCTCCGATGAGATATAATATTATCAAAGTAAGGAGGCTAGTCTGCTTCCGAACCTCCGATAAGATACAACACCAAAGAAAGGCAGATAGCCTACTTCCGAACTCTAATTAAAGCTAAAGCCAACACCTACCCAAAACCACGTACCCGTCCGAAATAAATCGAAAGTAGTATCAGGCGTTCTAGAAAGAGTAAGCATACCCTGTATCATGTACAACATATATCAATACTACATATCTAGACTAGGTGGTATCAGATGTTCTAGATAGAGTAACCATACCCTGTATCATGTACAACATCTATCAATACTATATATCTAGACTGGGTGATATCAGGGGTTCTAGATAGAGTAAGCATACACTGTCTCATGTACAACATCTATCAATACTACATATTCGGCCTTTGTCAAAACTACAGTCACCAAACTATTTGAGTTTTGATTTCCGCGTCTATCAATAATGTAATATCACCGACGATCTATAATCGACTACTACAAGTGAATCGTTAACGTCCGCGTCCACTGAATGTTCTATCGCTGACGACCTGTTAGCGCGAGATAGGACACGTTTTGATAAAGAAACCCCTACAAATATTATCATATAAATTGACGCGTAAGTTTTTTTACCCTCTTTAGTGGTTTTATAGCCATCTTGGCAATATGGCGATAATTAAATTATTCTTTGATCTAGCCGACGACAAGGTGGTGTCATTGTTATACAAAAAGATCATAAATCGAGGCGATTATTCTCAATATAAAAAGAATATTGTGAAGCAACGAAGCGTTGAAGACATATTAGAATAATTTGTTTGTAAGAAACTTGTATTATACAAGCTATTAAAACTCGTATTTGTAGTTTAATTGTGGTAATGTCGGCCGGGTCTCTTCCTTCTTCTATAACTTCGTTCATCTCATCGTCACCATATCAAGCTGTCACAACGCCGGTTAACTTAAAGCCGCTGACGGTGATTTTCAATTTTAGGGCAATATCCGCACTAGCGTGTGCTCAAACTAAATGTTTAAACATTAAAATTAAGAAGACAAAGTTTCAAAGGTAGATAATCTCTTTATGCTGTGATTGAATAAGGAATTACACCACTTTGAACAGTTATGCCTTTGAGAAATTCTTACAGCCTTGTAGTTCGCAAAGGATTCCTCTAATGGCGGTCGGTCAGTGGCCTCGGATTTTTCGTTCCAACATAGGTCTTTTCTTGCCGGACCCTCCACCCAGGGTCACTGACAAGGCGAACCCAGGCTGAAAATTCCGAGGAGATTTCTCATGTGCCCGGGTGACACATAATGCTACGCTAAGTTTCGGTCTTGCTCATCATCGATATTGTTTTGTAAATATCGCCCACATTATTTTATAAAAAAATATGATCGACATGCATGGTCAATACAACATATCCAAAAATTTAGTGATTTCATACAAAATAGGGAAGCTAGATGGTTAGCACGTGCGCGCTGTATCATAAAGCCAGTCATTGAGTCAACTGGCGTGGTTTCGAATCCCCGGTTATACGTGACAAGGAGTAGGATCGCCTGTCCAACCTCGTGGGTTTTCTCCGGGTCGTCCGGTTTCCTCCCACTGCTAAAGAACCCTACGCGCATGCGAATTATTGAAAAAAAAATTAAACCATATGTTAGTCCCAAAATGACCTAGTTTGTGTCGAGTGGACGTTAAACCCCATCTCTCTCTCTCTCTCTCTCTCTCTCTCTCATGATGACACAAGAGGAATAGCGGCAGCATGTATTTAGATTATTTTTATTTTTTCCACCATGATGATTGATGGTGGCCATTGCAGGAAAGATGAATGTTTCTAGGATGCTGTTTGATTTCATAATATGTATTAATGGTTCTTTAATATCATATTTTATAGGTTACATCAAATAACTTTTATGTAATATCAACACACTCTATTAAAGGATCAAATATTCATTTCTCAAAATACACCCAATACCAAACATGCTCGAAAAAAAAAGTAAATTGATAACAGCTCGGAGTAATTAAACCAATACCACTCCGCGCATTCTTTTGAAGACAAAAATGCTTGGTAATTTTATCGCCACAAAATTACATTTAATGAATTTTTCGAACATAAACCGTCAAAGATCAAAGAATTTCGATTTTTTCAAATACATGGCTTTGAAATTAATTATGATCAAACGGCAAAATGTGTTGTCGATTAAGCGAGTAGAGTGTCGTAAAAATCCTTTGAAGTCGACGTAATCTAGTCGTTAAAATTTTTTAATATTAATTACCAAATATGTTCCGGTGATAAAACGCCGAGTGTAAAGAGAAACAGTGAAAATTAAGCAAGGAGATGTGTATAATATTATCATATTGTTGTTTGAGCTTGATTACTATATTCTTGTTGTTTAATTCATTACACGTAGACTGCATGGTGTGAGTTACTCGAGTGGATTGTTGTTAATGTTGTAGTCGTTCGGGTGGGACGACAAATCGCGTGTTAAGTACACAGTATGTATTGGGTGAGTTACTCGAGTGCATAGCCGGCAAAGATGGACTGCGTGGAGTGAGTTACTCGAGTGGATTGTTGTTAATGTTGTAGTCGTTCGGGTGGGATGACAAATCGCGTGTTAAGTACACAGTATGTATTGGGGGAGTTATTCGAGTGTATAGCTGGCAATCATGGACTTGGCAAAGTAACAGCGTCTAGTCGTGCGGGTGGGACGAAAAACACGCTGGAATTTTGTGATCAGGTGGCGATAACGCCACTATCCGGGCCAAATTTCCTTGATAACACTCTGTATGATATATGCCCGTCCTCATAATCCCGGTTCGTACAAAACAGTAGGATGTTAACACCCCCCCCCCCCCGATTTCATTTCATTTATGAATGGGAAATTTTATGGCTTCACGGTATCTTTTACAAGCCGTTAAACGC